GATTTGATAAATAAAATTCTAGAACTAGCCAGAATGGACTGAAATAAACCTGAGTTTTGCTGAAATCACTCTCTGACTATTTTGTTAAGCACCGGACTTAACACGATAAATGCCCTGTTTGCCAACATACATAGCATTGTCTGTCTTTCCAGTAACTCCCTTTGTTTTCTTCTGTATTTTTATCTTGTTCTCTCATATGTTCCCTTTTTCTCTGAGCCTGAATTTCTCTGTGGCTGGACCTTTGGTTTGAAAGCTGGTTTATAAGGGCAGTCTCTCTTTTCATACCGGTCCCAACCAATGTTCCCTCTAAGCTGTGGAGTCTTGTGAGCAAAAATTCTATTTTGTGAGCTACTGGCATTAAAGTTGTGAGCGAGCGATTTGGCTACTGCCTAAATTAGTTTGCTCTGGAGCCATCCCTTCCTGAGCTGAGACACAAATGTGTGAGCCAGAGACTAAAAAACTGTGAGCTAGCTCACACTAACTCAGCTTAGAGGGAACACTGGTCCCAACTTCCTCTATTAAGCATTAGCTTATCAGCCCATTCTGCTGCCTGTTTGACATTTTCTGGAAGTTTATCTTTCACTAGAAGTCTTATCTCTGAGGAAGTTGAAAAAGAAATTGATCTAAAATTATCAACTCCCTTATTCCTTCTTTAGAGTCAGCTTTGGCTGATGAAATCCATTTGTCAAAATAGTCTGTTAGTGTTGCACTAAACGATCTAAATGACTTCTCTTTCTGAGGAATCAGACTTCTAAATTTTTTTCTGAAGTAATCAGCACTTAATCTGAATCTGTCATATACTGCCTCCTTAAATTCAGCATAGACAACAGGCTTATCTGAGGGAAATGTGCTATAAATTTCAGCTAACTCCCTTTTAATTAAACTGGGCAAATACTTCATATATTGAGTTTTTGGTATTCCCCAATTTTGAGCAGATTTTTCAAAAGTAGGCAAGAAGATTTGTGGATCTTCTCCTGTCACATACATTATGAAATATTTTGGTGTAACTCGAGGAAACTCATATCTGAAATCAGGGTTTCCCTCCTTTTTCTCCTCAGTTTTAAGTCTCTCTCTTTCTAAATGTAATCTTTCTGCTTCCAATTGTATTTCTTTATTTCTAATTGCTGTTGCCTGTTCCACTTTTCCATTCCTTTAGCTTTAAGCTCCATTTCTTTATTTTTAAATCTGCTTCAATGTTCAGTTTTTCCATCAGAAATTCTAAATATTCTGGACTGGGGTTAAACATTCCTTCAAGTCTTTTCTCAACTGTGGTTTTACTAGCTTCCACAGTGCTTTGAATCAATATAACTCTCAGCTCTTCTACACTTTTCCCTTCATGAGGTAAATGTAAGTCTTTACATTTTTGAATTAGAGCCTCTTTCTTCAGTCCTAGAAACTCTGCCATTTTTCTCTCAGAGTTTTCTTTCTTCCAGAATATTTATCCCACTTAATATATGTTTTCTTTCCTCAGGATGTTTGTATCCCACCAAAAGGGCCAACACTCTGTGGTGTCCTTGCTTACTGGGGAGACTGTTTTACCTTTAAAACACTCTCTGTGTACCTAAACTTGGTAGGTTTCTGCTGCCACCAGGAATTAAAAATTCCAAATCCCTCTCTTTTGGTAGAATGACCTAGGGTCTGGACTTCAGAGGACTCTGGGGCCCTGAAAAAGAACTATTCTGATTTCTGGGATAAGTTTAAACAAGAAATGATTTATTTAATAAAGAACAAAATATGTTTCTGGTTATTTTGAACTGTTGCTGATTAAAGGAACTTGTAAATATAACTGGCAAAGCTTGGTGTCACAAAGAGTCTCTCAGACTCCCAAAACTCCACTCTGACCAGCGTAGACACTCAGTCTAATCTCTCACTCTCTCATCTGTATAGCCACACAGGCTGAACTCTTTGTCTTATTCACACAGAATAGACTCAAAACACATATTCCCACAGAGTAAACTGTTAAGAACATAAGAGAAGCCAATGCTGGGTCAGGTCAATGGCCCATCTAGTCCAACACTCTGTCACACACTGTCCAAAAATACCAGGTGCCATCAGGAGGTGCAGCAGTAGGGCCAGGAAGCCATCCCACTGTTGCCCCCCCAGCATCATTTGCCCCAGACCAAAGGTTCCTATCTATACCTTGTGGCTAATAGCCACTAATGAACTTCTGCTCCATATGCTTATCTAATTCCGTCTTGAAGCTGTCAATGTTTGTAGCCACTGCCACCTCCTGTGGCATTGAATTCCATATGTTAATCATTCTTTGGGTGAAGAAGTACGTACTTTTATCTGTTCTAACCCAACTGTTCAGCAATTTCATTGAGTGCCCATGAGTTCTTGTATTGTGAGAAAGGGAGAAAATGACTTCTTTCTCAACCTGCTGTATCCCATGCATAATCTTATAAACCTTGATCATGTCACCCCTCAGCCGTCGTTTCTCCGAGCTAAAGAGCCCCAAACGCTTTAACCTTTCTTCACAGGGAAAGTGTTCCAACCCTTTTATCATTCTAGTTGCCGTTTTCTGCACTTTTTCCCATGCTATAATATCCTTTTTGAGGTGTGGTGACCAGAACTGCACACAGTACTCCAGTAGGGCCAGGAAGCCATCCCACTGTTGCCCCCCCAGCATCATTTGCCCCAGACCAAAGGTTCCTATCTATACCTTGTGGCTAATAGCCACTAATGAACTTCTGCTCCATATGCTTATCTAATTCCGTCTTGAAGCTGTCAATGTTTGTAGCCACTGCCACCTCCTGTGGCATTGAATTCCATATGTTAATCATTCTTTGGGTGAAGAAGTACGTACTTTTATCTGTTCTAACCCAACTGTTCAGCAATTTCATTGAGTGCCCATGAGTTCTTGTATTGTGAGAAAGGGAGAAAATGACTTCTTTCTCAACCTGCTGTATCCCATGCATAATCTTATAAACCTTGATCATGTCACCCCTCAGCCGTCGTTTCTCCGAGCTAAAGAGCCCCAAACGCTTTAACCTTTCTTCACAGGGAAAGTGTTCCAACCCTTTTATCATTCTAGTTGCCGTTTTCTGCACTTTTTCCCATGCTATAATATCCTTTTTGAGGTGTGGTGACCAGAACTGCACACAGTACTCCAAATGAGGTTGCACCATTGATTTATACAGGGGCATTATGTTTGTCTTATTCACACAGAATAGACTCAAAAACTATGCTTTCTCTTCAAACTTTACACACAGAATCACTCTCACAGACACCCCTCCTCTCACACTCTCAGCCACCAACCAATCACATGAAGTCTGCCACTGCTTCCACGACTTACCCTTCCATTTGCCAAGGAGTGATAGGGCCGGATGCCAGGAGCTTAGCTTTTTTGATGTTGAGTACTGTATATACTTGCTATAGTACTGTAGTGATATACCTACTACCAGTGCTTCCTCCAAGCTGCGGAATCTTGTAAGCAATATTCCCTCTAAGCTGTGGAGTCTTGTGAGCAAAACTTCTACTTTGTGAGCTACTGGCTTTAAAGTTGTGAGCAAGCGATTTAGCTACTGCATAAATTAGTTTGCTCTGGAGTCCTCCTTCCTGAGCTGAGACAAAAATGTGTGAGCCAGAGGCTAAAAAACTGTGAGCTAGCTCACACTAACTCAGCTTAGAGGGAACACTGCTTGTAAGCAAAAATTCTACTATGTGAGCAACTGACATTAAAGTTGTGAGCGAGTGATCTGGCTACTGGATAAAGCAGCTTGCTCTGGAGCCATCCTTCCTGACCGAAGACAAAAATGTGTGAGCTTGTTGTACATATTAGATTCCATGTCAAAAATGAAGTCAAATGAGGAGGAAGATCTATGTTTTATTTCAATTAACAGAAAAACAATTGGACCAAATAGTCCATCCAAAATTGACTACTTTCTTCTCAGCATATTTAGGGAATATGCTTCAATTAACAGGAAAACCAATTGGACCAAATAACTAATCAAAAATTGACAACTTTCTTCTTCTTCATCATCTTCTTCTTGAACATATTCTGAACATATTCAGGAAATACATGATATTTTATACATGGACTGACATCATCAAGAAAACAATATTCAAAAAGCATAATTGGTTACAAAAGACAGTGGTCATTTGAGTAAAAAGCCTTTGATTGACCAGATGTAAAAAGAGATATACCTACATAAATCTAAGGATTTACTTAACCTAACCTAAATGATAATGGGCAAGGATTCTTCATATCCCAAACAAAAGTATTTTTTACTGATACGAGACTAAAATCTTCTCTGACCCAGACATTGCAAGGTTTTGCCCTTAAGAACGACAGAATCATGAACTTTCTACCTATTATGTTGTCTGCTAACAATATCAGACCTACAAGAGGAAAGCCTTCTATATAACAGGCCTTTCTAACATCCTAATAAAATGTTATTTAAGAATAAATCTATAAAAACCAGAGAAATATGAATAATCAAAAAAGGGGGAAATCTTGATAGTCCCATCTCTACTACAAGCTGGAGGCTAAAAAACTGTGAGCTAGCTCACTCTGACTCGGGTTAGAAGGAACACTGCCTACTACCTATTTTTTGGCAGTCGGCAAAAAGCCTGCTGGTGGACAGGGAGGGAATGATGGATGCGGGGCGGGGGGGATAAGCAGAGATTTCTGGTGCTCATGAAGTCCTAGCCTGCCTGGTGGGAAATCTCCGTTGACTTGGTTGTCTCTGGAAAGTCAGAGCCTAGCAGATTCTGCAAACCATGAGAAACCGCGGAAGGAGACAGAAGGCGCATGAGTGGAAGATGACTTGTCATGTAGAGGCTGTGTTTGAGGGCTGGGGCGGGGGGGAAGCAAATCTCAATCCTCTGCAGGGAAACCCTCTTGGCTAGCAGCGGTGGAAGTCCAAAGAGTCTTGCACCGAGGCATCTCCCCGGAAGTTGATTGGAAATCCATCGTTCGATCCCACACGCACAAAGAGAGGGATGAACGACAAGGCTGTGATCTCTAATGACAATCCTGTGCTCTCTTAATCGCGAACGGTGCATTGGTTCCGTAGACCTCCACTTCACATAGAGTCAGGATTTTTTCCTCTCCAGGGATGACAATGGTTATGTAGCGGCCGACGGCTCCATTGCAGAAGATGGTACTGAGGGATCCGTCTCGGATGTCTGTGATAGTCCCACAGCTGCGAGGGGAGAAAGAGGGTCAGCCATGTGGTGGCATCCGTTCTGAATGAATCAGTCTTCAGGAAGGGCTAGAAAGTCCTCCCTAT